TTCAGTGATGGTCCACGATTCATGACCGTAGGTAAGTATGGGGATAGAGATCGACTTGAATATCGAGAGCATAGTTTTCAGACTGAGCTCTGCTTAAGTCACAATGGGTCAGGCTAGTTCAAGCAGAACGCCACTGGCTATTCCAATTCGCCGGTCGATCTTTTCCTCAGATTTTCCATCACTAGTGAACACGATCTGAGATACTTGAACTTCTCTACGTGCTCCACTGCCTCTCCGTTAATCTGAAGAGAGCGACGGGCAGGAGAACGAGGAAGCACTAGACTTTTGCACTGACCTCTTATTTCTAGGTACGTAAAGGGACCATTTAAGCATGCCACGCTCCATGGAATTCGTCTGCAATGCAACGAATGCGTAACCGCGTCTCTCAAATGTAAAGTGAGAAATACATTTTTCTTTCCTTACACTGCGCATTTTTGCCGTTGCAATCAGGTATCGTTATTTTGGGATATCAAGCAATTTACCATATAACCTTTGCATAGTAATTTGGCTAACTTTTACCTTTTACGATCTTCTTGAATCTATACGGGGATTGTAAAGCAGTACGAAGCTCTGACTGATCGTAAGAAATCTTTGTATTAAGGAAATGCTTTGGCAAACCCCAAATGTGATTCTCAACTAGAATTCTCAGAACCTTATTAGAACAGTCAACATTTGTTAAATACGTCCTACGTAACTTCGTTGGTAGGAAACAAATTTTCATCGAACTCGAGTGCATGTCGCCTTTACTATCATCACCTCGAATCTTAAGTTTTTAAGACACGAGGGACATATGATACAATAGCTACTGTACACGGTCTTGGAGCATAGTTCTTTCAGTCAGCTGACGGAGATCATGTTGTCAGGCAACTTCTGGTCAGCACGTAACGATGGAAAGGAGCATCAGGGTTGCGCCATCATCTCGCCGGTAGTGAAGCTGCAGAAAGGGGCCACCTAAGTACGCATCAGTAGAGACCGCACCAACTACTGACACTAATCATGATAGGCCAAATACGGTTAAGTAAGATAAATGAGCCAATCAAGGTGCCCTTCTTGCTTTTTGCAGCAGTGGTCACACCCACAATAAGTTAACCACCTTCCTGGTCGGGCGA